TCTAGTCCACAGACCCCCTTCTCCCAAAGTTAGGATCAACAGTAAATTCCAAAGCCTTACCTGGTATACCTCCAAACCTATTGCCACCAACACGTGCACTCTGTGGACTCCCTGGAGAAAAGTAATGAAGATTCAGTGGAGTATTTATTCTACTCCATTCAGGGATTTTACTACTGTATCTCCTCCCCATGCCGTGAAAAAACACACACACAAAAACCACACCACACCACACACATCTTCCCTAAAGATTTGGAAACCACAATCTAGTATGCCTATTCCTCACTTATCAACTATCTCGTTATCTCACATCTCACATTTACGACAATAATAAAAAATCACTGTCCAAATATTTTGTGCGTTACAGACGAACGTTTGGCAGTAACAAATGCCGAGGTGTGAGGTGGGAGTAACACTGGCTATGATGGTCAAGGTTGTGTATTAACTTGGCTGGGCCCTGATTCTCAGTAGTTTGGCAGTTACATAATGATGTGATTTGGTCATTAAGTAATGATGTAAACTGGCAGTTATGTAATGATGTAGTCATCCTCTTTTTTGTGATTTGATCTGGTCTTCCCCATTTTTGCATAACACCAACTTTGCATAATGACCTGCTCTTTGGAAACTAACCATGTCGATAAGTGAGGAGTGTGTGTATTATTTCTTCATTTTAATCATTACATAAAAATGGGGCCCAGACACATAAGGCTTTTTGCCTTAAAGTTCATGAGTGCTTAGTCTTAGTACTGAGACTAGAGTATCTTTCTCAAAATTCCTCCAGAACATTAAATCGTACTTCTTAATTACAAGTACTTTTAAATAGAAGTTGTACACTTTGTATTTTTCTCAGGGAAGTAGACAGTGGTGTTCTACCCTCCCTAGCATTTGATGAATGAACAAGTAAGTAAATAAAAATCTTTAAGGGATACTTATAATGAGATTAGTTGGAAAAGGAGGAACATTTTACTTATGTTGAAGGCTGCCCAAAGAAAATGAGGTTTATTAAATAGTCCAGAGTCAATTTTAACCCTATAGAACATACCTTTCCCAAATTTCTGTGACTTTAACACTAAGGTCCCTTGTGCAACTGCAACATCTATTTGAGCAGGTGGTCCAAGTGAACACAGAGCAGAAGCTGAGATCAATCATAATAATGAATTTTATTTGTTATTAGGATGTAGACCACCTTTTCTTTAAATTATTGTTCATTGTGAAGTGAAACTTGTGAGGAGTTTGCCTCTTAGCTCAAGTAGATACAAGAGACTAGACAGGCATCTTCTGTCTGGAGGTGAGATGGGAAGGCAGAGAAGGTTAGGAGCTAGTTTAATGGACATGGGGAATCGTGTGGAAGGAAGGAGTGTGCTGTCACAATATGGAGAGAGCAATAAGAGTCACATAATAATGTATGCATAAGTTTTTGTATGGGAAAAAATAAAAAATAAATTATTGTTCATTGTTGTTGCTGTTGTTAGATGACAACCAGTTGGTTACAATGCATAGTGACCCGATGTGCCACAAAACCAAACACTGCCCAGTCCTACACTGTCCTCACAGTAGTTGTTATGCTTGAGACCATTGTTGCAGCAACTGTGTCAACATATGTTGAGGGTCTTCCTCTTTTTCGCTGACTCTCTACTCTACCAAGCATGATGTCCTTCTCAGGGAGCAGTCCCTCTTAATAACATGGCCAAAGTTTGTACGAAAAAGTCTCACCATCCTTGCTTCTAATGAGCATTCTGGTTGTACTTTTTCCAAGACAGATTTGTTTGTTCTTCTGGCAGTCCATGATATATTCAATATTCTTCGCCAACACCATAATTCAAAGACATCAGTTCTTCTTCAGTTTTTCTTATCCATTGTCCAGCTTTCACATGCATATGAGGTGACTGAAAACACAATGACTTGGGTCAGGTGCAGGTTATTCCTTAAAGTGACATCTTTGCTTTTTAATACTTTAAAGAGATCTTTTGCAGCAGATTTGGCCAACAAAATGCATTGTTTGATTTCTTCACTGCTGCCTCTATGGGCATTGATTGTGGATCCAAGTAAAATGAAGTCCTTCACAAGTTCAATAATTTCTCCATTTATCATGATGTTGCTTAAGGGTCCAGTTGTGAGAATTTTTGTTTTCTTTATGTTAAGATGTCATCTGTACCAAAGGCTGTAGTCTTTGATCTTCATCAGTAAGTGCTTCAAGTCCTCTTCACTTTCAGCAAGCAAGGCTGTGTCATCTGCATATCGCAGGTTGTAAATGAGTTTTCCTCCAATCCTGATGCCCCAGGCTTCTTTCTATAGTCCACTTTCTTGGGTGATTTCCTTAGCATACAGATTAAACAGGTGAAAGGACACAACACTGACACTGACCTTTATTAACTTCAAACTATGCAGTATCCCCTTGTTCTGTTCAAACAACTGCCTCTTAGTCTAAGTATAGGTTCCTTATGAGCACAATTGATTGTTCTGGCATTCCCATTCTTTGCAATGTTATCCATAATTTGTTATGATCCACACAGTTGAATGCCTTTGCATAGTCAATAAAACACAGGTAAACATCTTTCTGGTACTCTCTGCTTTCAGCCAGGATCCATCTGATGTGAACAACGATATCCCTGCTTCCATGTCGTTTTCTGAATCTGGTTTGAATTTCTGGCAGTTCCCTGTCATTATACTGCTACAACCTCTTTTGAATGATCTTTAGCAAAATTTTACTTGTGTGTGATATTGATGGTATTTTTAGATAATTTCTGAATTCTGTTGGATCGCCTTTCTTGGGAATAGGCATAAATATGAATCTCTTCCAGTCGGTTGGCCAGATAGCTATCTTCCAAATTTCTTGGCATAGACGAGTGAGCACTTCCAGTGCTGCAACCGTTTGTTGAAACATCTCAGTTGGTATCTTGTCAATTCCTGGAGCCTTGTTTTGTGCCAATGCCTTCAGTATAGCTTGGACTTCTTCCTTCAGTATGATCAGTTCCTGATCATATGCTACCTCCTGAAATGCTTGAATATCAACCGACTCTTTTTGGTACAGTGACTCCGTGTACTCCTTTCATCTTCTTTTGATGCTTCCTGCATTATTATAATATTTTCCCCATAGAATCCTTCAATATTGCAAGTCGAGCCTTGAATTTTTTCTTCAGTTCTTTCTGCTTAAGAAATGCCTTGCATATTCATCCCTTCTGGTTTTCTATCTCCAGGTCTTTGCACATTTCATTATAATACTTAATCTTCTCGAGCAACCCTTTGAAATCTTCTGTCCAGCTCTTTTACTTCATCATTTTTTCCTTTTATCTTAGCTACTCTAAGTTCAAGAGCAAGTTTCAGGGTCTCTTCTGACATCCATTTTGGTCTTTTTTTTCTTTCCTGTCTTTTAAAGACTTGTTGCTTTCTTCATGAATGATATCCTTGATGTTATTCCACAACACATCTGATCGTCAGTCATTAGTGTTCGATGTGCCAAATTCATTTTTAGATAGTCTCTAAATTTGGGTGGGATATACTGAATGTTGCACTTTGGCTCTTGTGGACTTGTTCTAATTTTCTTCAGCTTCAGCTTGAACTTGGTTATAAGCAATTGATGATCTGTTCCACATTTGTCCCCTGGCCTTCTTCTGACTTATGATATTGAGCTTTTCCATCGTCTCTTTCCACAGATGTAGTTGATTTGATTCCTGTGTATTCCATCTAGGGAGGTCCAAGTGTATAGTCACATTTTATTAGAATTTTAAAAATCAGATGAGAGGGGAACCTGCTAAGATCACATAGGTACAAGCTCTATTATCTTGAAGTTACCCATTGAATCTCTCCAGTTATTAGGTTCTGATTTAAGCTAAGGATAACTTCTATATTTCATAGCTAATTTCTGCTCTCATCATTCTGGCTATTACTACTGAAAATTAAATAAACCAAGGAATTAATTATTGACGTTTGATTACATGGTTTTTAAATCTCTTGGAATA